AAATATAGGGTATCCAGGTTCTAGGATCACTGAGACTAAATGGAGGTGGTGGAGGCGGAGGAGAGGGTGCGGGTGGGCTTGGAGGTGAAGGAAGTAGAGGAGGTAAAGGTGGAAAAGGAAATGGTAGAGATGGTGGGTTTGGACAAGTAGGGAGAGGAAAATATGGAAAAGGGGGCAATGGAGGAAGTGGAGGCAGAGGAGGAAAGGGGAAAGGGAAGGCATAAGGAGGGAAGAAAGGGAGAAAGAACTTTGAGGAGGTCAAGGGATCTGGAGATTCCTGTTTCTTATTCCCACATAGACTTGTATCCTTCTTCAATGGCCTGTAACTTAAAGCATTTAAGCTGAATATACAGAGATTATCTTGCTTAGACTTGACCGATATCTCTTCCGCTGTAGTCGTCAAGCCTGGGACATTGCAGACCTCAGATGAGCTCCCTATTAATCTTGCCTGGCAAAACGACTGCATTGTCATACCATCAACACAATTAATTCCATCCACAGATGGAATTTCCAATCTATACGCTCCATATTTATCTGTTGTTCTGTTGACTGAGAAGCTCATCTGCTCTGCCATTTTTGGAGCAATTGCTCTGAATTTGCACTGCAAATGGACATCCACACCTGATCACCAGAAAACATAGTCCTCTATTACTACAATGATAGGTAATTAAAATTTTTTACATTACCGACTCGAAATGGAATTCTCTTACCAGGCAAGAAGTAGCTCTGTTTGGAGAAAGTGTTGCTTAAACATGTATCACAATAAACCGCACCCACTACCGTGATTCGAGTGACCGAAGCTGAGGTTTCGGGTGTTAGGCCAAAGACATCAGAGAAGACAGATGTTAGAGAAAGTAGGAGAAGGAGAGAGATTGCTGGATCCATAAGAAAACTGAAGGAGAAGGACGAGGAGGTTGTGAGAGTTTGTTGGAAAAAGTATCATCTATCAATGGGCAAGCCCTTAAATTTTTCAAGCATCTGTTTGCTATATACTGTTTGCTTTGCATTGCATTGCATATAATGTGCCCGTGAGTTCTTGGTGTTAGACCAACTGTAATCAGAAAAGAGAAAATGATTATTCTATTCACTACAAACAAAGACATGTGAAGTGGCTTTTTGGCTGAATGTGAGGGGAAGCGTAAAATGAAAGGGTTTTCAGCAGCTAGTCTTTTTAGGCAGATTCAGAGATAACTGGGACTGATTAAAGAGCCTCTTTGATTTCATGTCTCTATTGGCTGTCCAGAAAATGGAACTTCATTATTTTCAGCACCCAGAAAAGGCCATGAAAAAGAAGAAGAAATGGCGAAATGCCATGAATACCTGTTCAAAGACCCTTGTTAGGTAATTTCTTAGTGTTCATAAGGAACTCGCATAAATAATAACACAGGTTGATTAGGAAGAGAGTTCAATAAGTAGCCTAATCTTTCACTTAATAATTGTGGCAGACATGCTATCCGCTGTACCAGACAGTCCTCGACTGCCTGTTTTCGTGTTGGTACCCTAAAAACACATTTCGTGTGGGTACCCAAACTTATGTAATGGCATAATGCTTATTGGTTATAATTTGTAACGATTTAATCGATGTAGTTTAAAATTTGCAAAGAGTTAATCTATGCTGTGAAATTTCTCGTTAAGATAAGATGTGTGTGATGTGACAGCCACTTTGATCTGACTTACTGGCTATTTGTTTTCTACACACATGCCTTTGTTTTTGTACACATGGAATTCGGGTATCTACCACGTCAAATTCCTATTACTTATTAACCTGATTTTTCACAAATTTTAAACTATATGGACCAAAGTTAATGTATAGTGAAAATGAGGAGTTATATTTGAGATTATCGAAGTTCCAATATAATGCTTCTTGCGTGCTTTTTATGCTTTTCTTGAAGTTCTATCAATTTTGAGCACCCTCTGCTCCAGTAAGAATTGAAAAGAAAATAAAAGGAAAAGAATTTGTGTGAATTTGTTTAATAATAGATGGAAGTTAAATCCCATCTTGGTTCTTAAATTTTTTAATATATTCTAATTTGATACTTTTACTTTCAAATAATATGTTTAATTCCCCAAATTTCGTACTGATTCTTACTGTTAAATTTCTTTAGTGTATTTAACAAATTTCTTACGTGTTACTGCATGCTTTTATTTTTAAAGCTTAATGGATCAAATTGGATTTCAAGTTTGGAACCAAGTGACCAAAACCTTTTGCCAAATTCAGTATGAAAGTTTAATGACAAGAATCATTATATCTATGGTCATGGTTATGGATAGAACCAGAGTTTGTCACGTGGTCCTCTCACCTGGGAGCACGTGTCGGGACCTTAGCTCGGACAGACTGAGGATGAGAAGGTCATCGTCTCGCTTGTCTAGCTAGACATCCACGTTGGACGATCCGAAGCCGACACCACATCAGCAATTGTGTATGATGTTAAGCTAATGTTTACATCGGTCCTTAGAGTTTCACCAGAAAGATCTCTATAGCTATGAATAGAGATTTTGCCCCACTTGTATATCATAAATTAGAAGTTTTTCTACTCGAGGTGTGACTTGTGTTCCAATCTGTAAACTAAAATAAATATACAGTGAAAAGTAATTTTGTATATGTGAGCAGTTGAACTTTACTATTTTACTGCTGATAGAATGATGATGTTTCCAGCCAACTGCTCATTCCATAACTGTAGTATTCATTATCCCTCACTCTCCAGTTTTAGTGTGATGTAACTCTTTCTTTCTGTTAATATGTCAATGAAATCTGACATTATTCTCTCCTTTTTCCTTTTTCAATGTGTCACATGTCACTCCCTCTTTTAATACTGACTTAAGTTTCTAGGTCATTGTATTTATACTTTAGTTAATATAAATTTTAACCGGTTTAAATACTATTTCGGTCCTTATTTTGGTTTATATACTTTTAATTTCGGTTCATTTTAGTGTTTAGACTTTTGAAATATTCGTTTTGGTTCGTTTACTTTTGAAAAGTTATAGTTTGAATCATTATTTGCAAGATTTTAGCACAAAATTTATACACCAAGTATTAATAATTTAATAGCCAACATGAGCCTAGCTTATTGGTTTTGATCCCTTATATCTCCAAATTGTTGTACTAACAAAAAAAAATGAAATAATTTAATTTAAATTTCAGGAAATTTAGTGAGTAAAATGTCATATTAAAATTTTGATCGAAATAAATGAGATAAAAAAAATGAATGATCAATATGGTCACTTTTTTTAAAAGTATAGGGACTAAAACGAATGCCTCGCAAATACAAAGACTAAAATGAATAAGTATAGGAATCATAATAGACGTTTTGAAAGTATAGAGACTAAGATAAACTAAAACAAAGTATATTAGTTGCAAGAGTATTTAAACCATTTTGATTTCCAGTACCTGTTTGATTTGTGAATTATGTGATTTAAATTTGAGATATGTCTTAGAGATTTGAATTTATATAGCAAACTCATAGCTTATAATTGGTAAAACTTTGCATATACACCATATCTATAAGGTTCTTCTTCAATATTAAATTGCTACAATTTAGCTATAAAACCAAAATAGGCATAACATTGTAATTATGCATGATGTTGAATTCATAATTAATTTCAACCATTTCTATAAGATTATAATTTAAATTATTACAAATTATATTTTATTTATTAAATCATTTGATAAAAGATCAAGAAAAACAATTTTTATATATAAACAAAAATTGTATGGAGTAAAATGTTATTTCTTCTTCTTTTTTTTTTTGATAAAACAAATAAATGTTATTTCAATGTGATTAAAGAGTGATTCTATTTAAATTAATTCACAATCATTTTTACCAAACACTAGAAAACTATTAAAATTATTCGAGTACAGTTTTGAAAATAGTTCTCAAAATCAAATCAATTCCAAACATGTTTCAAAACTACATAGACGGAAAAGGGACAACCTCCAAAAACTCAATACCTAAAACAAATGTTTATATTGGTAGGGATTTTACCAATATTATTATAATTTGATTATTCTAATCTTGGTAAAATATATATTATCATTTTAATTTATTCGAGGTAAAATAAATCTTAGATGTGGGCGAATATTTAGTACATGTGACAATATATACTTTAAGATTTTAAATGTGAAATCCAACAAAAATAACTGTGGATTTTGTACTTAATTTCTTCTCTAAGCTATTGTCTTGTCAGAAGAAGTAGAATAGAGGGGAAAATGGACAAAGAAGATGATAGAAAGGGATTAAAGTGAAAAATGATTCTCACAAAATGCATAAAATTTGAAGCCATATGTTCGTTGGAAAAAGCATTAACTTTGCTAAGATTCTTCCTTTCTCAGAGAGATCTAAATTAATTTTGCTAAGATTATAGCTAAACTACTCATGCCTGGTTAAAAAGTTGTGAGTTTGAATTTCGACCTCACAGTACTTAAAAAAAAATCTAAACTAATGGGCTTCCAAGCTCGATGATTGAAAAAATCCTATCAACCCAAATTCAAACTTTTTTTTAGTACAACCATGTGGGGTGGGGATATATGTCAATTACCGCTGAGCTACGATAGTTTTGGTATCCAATTCAAACTTATATGATTTGGATTGAGTTGAGTTCACGTCAAATAGAAACTCTATGGATAAAGTTGGTTTAATAGTTTACCTAAAATAAAATTGGATTGAAACAAATCACCCTAAACTTTCCATGGTAAAAATTAACCCTTCAAACTTTCATAAATGACAAAATTAACCCCAACCAACTCAGCAAAAATATATTATGGACCTATGGCTCAGTTCATTATCTAATAAAGACTATTTTAGTTAATAAATTTAGAATCCGAACAATTGAATTTAGTTTTTTTAGTACAACATATTGGGGTGGGGGATGGAACTCACAACCTCATGATTGGAGGTATATGCTAGGCTCACTTTGGCAACAATTGAGTTGAGTTTAAAAGTATTTCGACCAAACTCAACCTATAAACTCTCCTACCCCTAATTGCTTGTATATTAATGAAGCTAGGTCGTGTTAGGACAACCATCGACTAGCCAGTTCTCGACCCTATCTTCATAACAATAGGATGTTGTTTACTTTAGATCTAAGTTTTTGCATTTAAATAACTTTATATAACTTGTTAAATATAATCTATTTACAATAAATATTTATTTAAATTTGTACCTCATATATATATGAAAATAGAAAAAAATTACTACTTTTTAAAATTAAGGTACCGTTTTAATTATTCTCAATCGTAATGGAAATCAATCGTAATGAAAATCAATCGTAATGAAATCAATCGGAATGAGAATGTTATTACATTGATATTGTTTACTTGAACATATATGAAATTGGAATCAGAAACCAATTCATGGTGTTTACTCCCATCTGGAATTGTAATCAGACATATGCTGATTACCAAAATACCCTTATATATTTATAACTGATATAAAATTACATTAATTAAAAAGGATTTTATGAGATTTTTTATATTGAAAAAAAAATACTTATAATAATTTTTAGATCTACTTATATTATTTTACTTAATAGTAATAAATTATATATTTTGTATTTAAGTCTAAATTTTTTTTACACTTTATTTGATATTATTACTACATTATTTATTATAATAAACTTTCTTTTACCCATTCAGACAAATGAGAAAAGGAAAAGCGGCAATGGAGCAGTTGAAAAAATAACGCTAAAAGAAAGCAAAAAATCATGAGTTTGTATAAGAGAGAAAAGAGCATTGCTTGTCAAATTACCATATCGTGAGTCGCACAGATTAAGGAATTGGAATGAGATTACACAACTATTTTGCATGTAATAAGATTGCACATTTTTTGGGGAGTGATTCCAAAATTTGAGGTGGGTCCCACAGTTTATTATTATTCATTTATTTTGGTAAACATAATCAAACGTAATGAAAATTTTGATTACACAAGTAAACGAGGTCTAAGTAATTATTTTGAACTTTCATTTTTCTAGAAATATTTTCTAAAACTGGACTATATAGATACAAATTCTCTAAATGCTAGGAAAACGATTTTACACCAATAAAAATATTGTTTTGTTTATAAATTTATAGTTTGTCACCCTTATACATATAGCTATAAATGAGAATTTATGATCATTTATGTCTTCAATAAATACTCTAGAATTAGAAATATTCTTTTACAATATAGAACTCGAAATTAATTGAACCATACTTAATTATATGTTGAAAAGAACTATAAAAAAAGGGAAAAAAAAACAGCATGAGTTAATCATACTTAATTATTAGCTCTAGAAATTATGAATTTGTTGACAAATTACTGATATAATTCCTTATTGGAGAGAGAGAGTACAAAAATAAAAAAGGACAGAAAAATAATTGAAGGAACAACATTATTTTGCCTCTCCATGCTTTTTATCTGGTATGCAATTGATATTATTTTATTGTATATAGATATATATGTATTATTTTTTTTCCCTTTTTCTGAAATTAATAATAATAAATATGGCATGAAAAGTAGTATGAATAATTTATTTGATTTTCTTTTCCAATTTAAAAAATCATAGAAAAATTTGTTCTTATCCCTTCATGTCTTAATTAATTAATATTAATTATAAGTTTATTTATCTTAGCTTTAGTGGACCCAACTTAATTTAAACTATCTCTTAATATAAGTACATTTTAATCCTTGAAATAGCCTCTGTATAAGATTTTACCATTACTATTCAAGATTTTAAAAATATTAGTGAGGCTTAATAATAATAATAATAATAATAATAATAATAATAATAATAATCTTAATCTCTCAAACTTTATCCATTCCCTATATTTCAATTGTTAATATATTTAAACAATTGATTTTGTTATCCTGACCCATTTAATAACCACTTCGTTTTTTTAATTTTATGTAAATTTAAAAAACCAAAAAATGTCGTTTTAAAATATATTTCTGTGGTTCAAAATCTTCATTTTTTATAATTCTCGACTTTTTTCTTTCTTTGATATATTTCTCTCCAACAAATTTCTTTTTCGCTCTATAATTTTTTTCTACCAAATTTCTCTCTAAACAAATTATTTCTCTCAAATTTTCATGTCTAAAATATTTATTTTTATTTTTGTCTAAAATTTTCATCCCTATATATTTTTATTT